CCCACTGCTTCAGACGAAGAACAACAAGGATAGGTGTCATCCGGTGTTCGTACAGCACATTCATCGCTAAACCACTTTTCATAACGACACCGATGTTTTCCAGGGGATTTAATAGTAACATACCTCCCATAGTCTACTTGAGAAGTGAGGGAATACGACTGTGACATATCCCGTGCGATCTCTCTTTCGACTACTGGATTATTTTTACATCGGCTGTGAGCAGCATCTCGATCGCCGCCAGAGGATGACATCGTATTGCGTCTGGATGAATCTGACGAAAGTGACTCTACATCACTGCTCTCAGTTTGCGAACTAGCAGCCTAAAAGATGAGAAAAATCAGGTCAAACGCCTCGGCAACGATTCCGTCGCTGTTTTTTTGGCAACGATGTTTTGACTATTATTACTTTCTCCTTCATTACTACTTTCATTTAATTTGACAAAGCTATTTTATGTTGTGTTGTAAACAGATTAAAATAATACTTAACAACACTCATTGAGCCCAGCCGCTTAATCGGATACCGCAGTACCATCCAATTCGCAACTGGTTCATAACAAGATATGGTGGTTAACGTGAAAAATTATAAATGAGAAAAAAATATTAGCAATCTGAACAATTCTACAGCCAAAGAGAATTCTTTGAAGGTTGCTTCCAAGTTACATCCCGGTTATATTTCACTTATATTCGGTATTGCATCAACGTCATTGAAGTATTAGCGCAACGATCAACAATAATAACACAATAAAAAGTTACTAGCTACTGAAATCGAAAATAGTAGCAAATAAACTGAGGAACCCGTTCATGAACCTCTTTACGAACTTTGGTTCCGAAAAATAAAATATCCAATACTCACTAAGCTTCCGTTCATTACTGAGCTTCGTGCAACGCATCCATTCATTGGAGGCTGAGCATCATCGCCGCTGGCTATTCCGTTCACCGACGCTGCTCGATCGTCGACAGGGGTGGGTTCAGGTATGGCAGCAGTGTTAGACTCTTTCTGAGTGGAAGAGTCTCGACGGGCACTCAAACCGCCACTCTTCTTGCGGCGATTATTTGGCATCTAAAAAGGTACGGAAGATTGAAAACACTAGGAAGAATAATAAAACGATCTTAAGGATAACAAATGTGATTATATGAACAATGTGATTATATGTGATCACGGAGGAAGCATCAAGGGAGCAAAGTAAAATAACCTTGCGGATAACAAATGTAAACATGTCAACAAGATCACTTGGTCAATAGTATCAGAATTCAACCGTTTTGACAGTGAGAACCACCAGGATGGAATTCTTTATTGAAACATGTATAGCGAGCAGCGCTCGGAAACAGGAAACCCGTTCAATCTTCTCCTGTAAGTGAATTGTAGAGCAGTGAGAATGTGGAAAATGGCAAGATAACAGAAAGAAAAGCGAAGAGATAGAAGTGTCATGAATTAAAGGTCATACAAGTAGATGTAAGAAAGGCACAACACTTTTAGGAACCTCGTAAGCAAAAAATAGTTACAATAGCTGGACAATTCTTCACAGCATTTTTTCGATGTTTTATCAATCCATATACCGGTAGCGATGGAAAGAAAACTCAAGTCCATTCTCAACCATCACTTCTGAACGAGCAGATTCGTCTTCTTGAAAACGATCCCAATCGACACCGCTGAGGAATACATCAGCGTCACAACTGGAAAAACATTAAAAAAGTGAAAGAATTTGACTTCGTTCGGTCAATAATGAATTAGGAAAGGGGACTATTTCAGGCCAAATATCCAAAGATTTTAGAATAACAGAATGAGAATGACAAAAAAAAAAAACAAATGTATTGAGAACGCCCTTACTCTTTATGTACTTTAGTAACAACAAGCTCATTCACATAGTCCTTTTCTAAAGCCATTTTATAAATTTCTCCGCCTCCAATATTCCAGATCTTCTCAACCTTCTCCGACAGTGGACCATCAATTAGCTCTTTCACAATTTCGTCAAAGTTGTTACTAAAACATTACATAAATCCATACAGATTATTTATACCGAATCAATGCGAGATGACCAACAATGAAGCCATAAAAAATAAATGTTACCTGATAATGAGATTATCATCTCTGCTTTCCGGGAGCGTTCGCGTTATCACCACATTTAGCCGGTCTTTCAGAGGACGGAACTTCTTGGGAATGCTTTCCCAGCACTTGCGGCCCATGACGACGGCATTAACCTAGAGAGATACGTTTGATCAAATTTTCACATGCTCATCTGACGTCGATAACTTTTTGTCGACTGGCAGGTAATGAAACAGGTATTAGGGCCAAAAATAGGTCATCTAGTATCAAGATCTTCTACAGAATTAATTCTCAATACTTTTAAACGCCAAAGCAACTGCTCCTGCATAACTATTTCCTTGGCGCAAGAAGCAGGGAAAAAACGAAACGTGTGAGAAAGGCATCGGAACCCGCAGCAGGTTCATCGTCAGTTTCATGATTCTTAGCAGGGTTCACGAGATCACGTGGGAAACGAAACCAACTTTGGACGGATCCTTCGTTTTCGATGTAGTATCAGCGAAAAACTTCATATCTTTCCGTAACGACCACGGTAGAGCGTTATTTTTCCCAATACCACAGTTTGAGTCCACAGCCACAATCAGGCTCATTTTACGGAGAACATTTGGTTGTTTCATGATCTGGGAAACACATTCAGATCTTTTCGTTGAAACGAAATAAAATAAATACAGCCAAAAAAGGAAGAGTCACAAGAGATTCACACAAAGATCGACGAAAACACACAAATTAAAATAAATGCTAATAGATTGGTGGAGCAGGTCCTTAAGACATGTTCGTACTACAAAAAACGACTTCCCTATAAGAGTTTTTTCTGAGCAGCTGAGACCGTAAAAGGTATTACTTTCAGAGCAAAAAACGGAAATCAGCAAGAACATATCAAAGGCGAATTAAAGACAAACACTTCCGGAATTCTCCAAAGCATATCAGATACGCACACCACGCAAGATGTTTGAGAAGGCAAAGATTGACAATACTGGGGAAGAATGATCATCCAAGGTTTCAGAAGAAAAGCATAAAATCCAATGCAACGCAAAGCACAAGGGAACGCATTTAGAGATCTCAATATTTTACTTTTTTCGAATCCCTGAGGCTATTAATACTAATGGAAAACAAACTCCAATATCGAATTTTTAGGTTGAACCTTTTGATTATCAATATAACAAATAGGTAGTAATAGGCATCAATTTAAGCAACACTACGCGATCTACGCAGGTGTGAAGGTTTCAAGGTGTGCTCCAATTAATGGTCCTGCAACGAATACATTTGTAAAGCATTTTGAAGTGTACCTGACATGACGGTCAGGATTTCTGAGAATTCGGAGTGTTTTCTGACAAAATGAGGTCTGAAATATAGAAAAAGAAAGAAGTAAGAAACTCGCGAGTAGTCAACCAGGAAGTAGATGGGAACTCTGGATGGGAATGATGGCGTAGAGGTAGTCTTTTTACTTAAAAAGAAGGATGGGGCGCTATAAGAAGTGATTTGCTAGATTAATAAGTTTGAACGGCTATGGAAGGCTATAATTTACATTCGGCTAATTTCCTATTCAGAAGGAGCGCCTGGAAATCCATCAACACCACAATCGATCGACGACGCTCAATGGAGCGCGCAATTTTCCAGCGGCTTCCGTTCATCGACGCAACAGCGTTTTTCTCGATCAGAACACTTTCTAGGCGATTTCTTACCCATATTTATTCATCAACCACTCCTTTTCTCAAGGGAAACAACGGTCAGGTTTCTCAAAATCTTCTTTGACATCAACGAACTTGATTAGTAAGGCTTTGTTATCCCAAGCAAAAGACGGTCCGATTCTTTAACTATCTCGAAGTGTGTTAAGCTTTTGAAGTGAAAAAGTGGGTGGTTTTTGTCGAGCATGATGGGAATTACCATTTCTATGCTTAGGGGTCATAGTCACGCAATCGGATACAAAAGAGCTTGTAATAATGTTACAATCCTTTTTTGAAAACTTCAAAGGTTTTTGTAGGTTTTGTGTAATTGGGCATAAGATTCTTAGATGGGGACGTATGGTATGACATTAGAAGATTATATTGAGTTTTGGGTGGGGGTTTCGGGAAATGCAGTACCCAAATACTAATGTAATGGAATCGAACTGAAGAGAATTCAAAAATTCACGATATGATTAGAAAAACTGAAGATGGCAGACGATATTGTAACAGGTTAGCATCTCGGTTCGGGTCATTCAAGGGGGTGTGGTAGACATCAGTGAAGGTCATAATTAGGTATCATTCTCATAGCATAGGTGTAGCCCATAGGGCATCGTCATCATACTAACTAGCTATATAATTTCTTTGAAGTGCCTTTGAGATTGTGCTCTAAGGTAATGATCATCGGTTGAATTATCTGGGCGTTCCCTATTTTCCCATGATTGTATCTGAGGTCAGGTACCAGGAAATGCCTATCTTCGGGGCTAGTTTTGAATAGATATTTGCATTTTACATATTGTACTTTTTAAAAAATAGCCCAGGAAGAGTTTCGTTTCCATGCTTTTCTGCATATTTAAGATAGAGCGATTTGCCACCACTTTCTTCAGAATTCCTCTTTCAGTCCTGAAATAGAACCTCGAGCTAGCGCCTATAATACCATGGATTACTCTAATAAATTACTCTTTAAACACCCACAAATTACTTGGACTTTTGTGTGGAAATAAAAGGAAGTAAGCAAAGTTTTCATGGTCAACAGTGAGACGGAGAACTTTTTATTTTACTGCTCAAATACTTTGTTACCACCACAGTTTCTGTTCAGTTTATCCACTATCCGTGCACGTGCAGTCGGGATGATATTTATCCAATCTTATTTTTAACCCTGATTGCCTGTAATCAACTAACTGTTAGCTTCTTTTCACTTCCACTTCTGGTGTTTCAAGTTTTAAAACCATGTTTATTCGATTTGCTGAATACTGTATACTCTATTATGGAGCATTGAGTACTGCTTTCAAATCATCGCGAATTCCTTTATTTTGCCTCAACTTTTTGTCTATTTCATGATAGTTAATATATTTAGTCGTTACGGTAGAAATACTGCATGCAAATACAGCTTTCAGAGCTGCATGGAACCTTCTACGTCACGGGAAGATGGTTTCTTTGGCAGTCCCATTTTGTTCCATCCATTTCACGGCGAAAATATCGAGCTTCTGGAACATAGAAGGCGAGCCCTCCGTCGCGTCAGCTTTGAAAAGGTTTGCTTTTATTTGGAGAATTATATATTTCTTACTTTTTTATTAGAAGAATGTTTTTGTATCAAACACAAATCCCTTGTGTACACCCCATCTCTTTGATAGACGGCATATGCTAACGCTTCACCTAGTTAGTCTTCTCGGTTATCTCCGTCTCATACTTTCCGATGCTTTTCTCAAGAACAGTGGTCATCCGAGTAATTTCCAGCATGGGAGATCGGTCCTTTTATTGACTTTCTTATTCAGTACCAGTATTTCACGATATTCAGGGTATCGTTTTCTCGGAGCGTGCTCTGTTAGAGGGAGAATGCTTCTTCATATCAATTGAGAGTGTAGAAGGTGGCTGGTCTGGTCATCTGAGGATTGGATTGACGACGGTTGATCCTGAGACGAGACCTTCCATTCGGTGGGTTAATATTCCCATTCGTTTTCAATTCGTAAAACCCAAGTTTCTTTCTATTATACTGTCCTCCGCCACTTTCAAGCCATGATAACTGAGCAGTCGCATTCTCTTTCAGAAGCCTCGACTCAAATTCCTGGCTCTTCTCCGTTTCTCCTTTCATTGTTCCATTTCAAAATACTTTAACTACCCGCTCTCTTCCAACGGAAAAAGGTTCACTGATTGGAGTTTACTATGAGAACAGCACGGAAACTCCAAGGTATTTTTCCAACTCCTAAGCATAGTTCGGCTCCTTTTTATTGTTTTACTTTTTGTGTACTTTTATTAAATTTTCGTCGAAGTGTCAATGTTTTCTTTTCAGGATTCATGTTGTATTAAATGGCTTTGACTTTTGTCCAAACTTTGGGCAAATCACTTCCAACCTTCCCTTTTTTGCTGTTGTTGATGTTTTTGGCAGTACGAAAGAGGTCAGACTTACACCTGAACCTACACCTAAAGCCTCGCAAAACCATGTTTCCAGGTTCGAGTTGTGTATCCAGGTCCACGCATGCCAGCTCGTCTGTATACTCTTTGTTCGGATCGACTTCGCTGTCTGTATAACGAAAGAAAGTGCTCTTTGTCCAGGCTACCAGCTCCTCTTCGTAGTCAATTGGAACAGGAATGGGATAGAGACAAACGAAATTCATCATATTATGATTGGGAAGGAGTACGGTAGTCGCTTGAACACCGCTTGTATATTTATCGTAGTGAAGAGATGGTACTGCTACATGAGTGTGAATTTTTCCAAAAATTCGGTTTGTAATACTTTGTATCTTTTGATTTAATAAATTGATACATGCATTGGGAAATTCGATGCGGTGAACTTTCAGAGTAAGGGGATTCTTCCAAGAAAGTTACTTAGGCATGTAATTCGAACGAAAATAAGAATCACTAGCGAAAAAATCTATACAAAATGTTATTCATAACAAGAAATCTTCATCGGTATCTATACAATATATCAAGTTGTTATAGGTCTACGACCTTTATTAGCACTGCGAAAACCCTATCTTCCTGATTCAAGGTGTAACGTAGAAGTACTTTGTGTCACCCGTACAATTACACAACTAAACTGCGCAGCTACAAATAGCAAGCACTTCATTCAGGAAGAGGGAATCGCTACGGTATGTATAACTTATGGCAGAACAGCTGGAAGCATTTTCTTCTACTTCCTTTGCGGCTGAAGGTAGGAAACATACAAGTGGAGATGACCAGAAATTCAAATGAAAGTGAATTAAAACAAATCTTCATATGTCCTAAAAATCTTCATATGTCCTAACAAAATAAAGGGAAATTGATAAAACTGACCACTTTCTATTTTTTTGGCGCTTACCGGTACACCGAAACTACGAGAAGCTACCATTACAACGACCGACCAATTTCACAGGTCTATCTCATATCGATCATCCACTTTCACCATCTCCAATGCCTCCTGTGATGACTGCTCGTCCCACTTCATTTCCAACATTTTCAAACGAGCTTTGAGATCCGTTTGCAAGATTTGGTCTGTCCATTTGGTATATGTAAAAGGCTGGAACGCAGACGTGCACCTATTTCGTCTCCTTCGTCGACGTTTCGCTTCGATTTCAAGCTTCATTTTCGCCAGTCTTCGTTCATTCATGTACAGTATAGACATCGTCGTGTACAAATCATAAATCGAGTTGGAGCTGAAAACAAAAAAACGCATTTGGACGACTATATAAACCTTTTTCAAGATGGTACTTACTAAGGGATTTTCTTCCGACGATAGACCCTATCAAAGATGTTCTTCACTTCATTGAGTGAGGCACCATTACACAGACTAGCGGTTGCTAAGATTTTTTGAAAAGATGGGTCGAGAATAACATCGCGAAATTTCTGGTACGCGAATCCTCTGAGAGCATGCTGTTCCGATCGTGTGCTTGACAATGGTGGATGAGCACAGCGCGTGTGCATCCCAGTGATCTCTTCCTAGAATGTCTGATGGCAAAAAGAGTTTATATGGAGAAACGCCAGCTTCCTACCTGGGGCCACTCATGCACTCCTCTGACATGCATCAAACACGTGTTGAAGAAAGGAGAAACGTCTAAACCAGTTTTGATTCCCATCTCAACGGCAGCCTTCAGATGTCTTATAATGTGTTCTATCCACAGACAAATTGAACCACAACCCAGCTCTCTAGCAGCCTGCACAACAGTAAGGAAATTCAAAAACATATCCATCGTAAACGATAATGACTTGATTAACTACACAGTCCGAATCAGAGAAGCATCCACGCAAGATTCGTAAGCTGGAGCTCGTCAAGATTACGAATCATATCTCTCGAAATAGTACCTGTCGAAGCTTTCTAACCATCCATTTGATCAAGTAATTTACGTGGATTTGATGACGAACATGACCCTTTTCGGTGTGTTTCAAATTAGAAAGAGCATCCAATGTAGTAAAAAGGCTTGTTGTCAGTGATGAGACGGATAATCCTTTTGCAGATAACCGCTGAAGGAAACGCTCGATGTCCTTCGGGTCACCTTCTTTACCTGAAGCGAGAATTTTAAAAAAGTTCCAACCATGGACCTTCTTAATAAGAAAAGGAGTTTAAAACATGACCTAGGGGAAAGACTGAAAGAAAATGACCAGGGAGAGTCGACGCAGATGGAAAACTTCTCAGTAGAACAAAAAAAAAACGCACCTATTAACGAAGAGTGGGTCGGTAGGGAATGCAAGACTAACTTAGTAAGTGCATCGCTGATAATTGCCTGGCTATTTAGTACAGAACTGCGATGACTTTTTCGCCTTGCATGCATTGCAAGTTGAAGGCTCTCTTCCTTCTGAATGACCAGCATAGAGAATTAGTTTCGGAAGTGTTTCATTCTTTGCAAAGCTACTAAAAATCCTGAAAAGCTTGTAGTTGCAGCAACTTATAAATACCTCATAGAAGAGTCGAACTATTTCCAACAAATGGTCTTGTTGTGCACGATAAACATTAGCAATGGTTCTTTTTGTCCACACGAAAACTTTACAAAAAAAGGCCTGACGAACGAAGCTCAAGTTCAATAAATCAGCCCATCGTTGAAGCTCCTTAAAATTCCTTTTTTCAATCATAACACATAAAAATAGTAATCTCAACTCACTATGTATCGCAGTCCCGTAGTGATTGCTGCTACCGACGCTGCAACGTTTCCTTTGAAAGACTTCTCTCTATTATGCGTCACGAAATGGCGTTGACATGTCCAATGTTTAATTGGAGGAGCTTGTCGGGAACACTTCGGACAGACATACCGTACAATGGCAGCCATCCCTACTGCACTTAGTCGACTTTGTTTTAACCTATTTCCACATTCCGGGCAGAATCGGAACAAATTCAGCAGCATTTCTCCTTTGACAAGGTAGTATTTACCAGTTGCAGAGGGTTCTGTCTCACCAATGGAGTTCACATACGAACTAATGTCGATGGTGGAGCTCGAAGGCTTATTGCTTGTAGTTGGCTTTGACTCGCTCATAGCGTCCATATGTCGGTCGCCATAGCTGTTGGAGCTTTCGAGTAGGCTGACCGCACTGAACTGGAGCTCCTTTTCAGAGCGGATGCTTTGGTCTGTATCACTAAAGAGGCTCCTTCGTTTCCGTTGTTGGCCGCCGCACGTACCTCCACTCCTATTCACTGGCATTCTCGATACTCCGTTTGCAGTTGACGCTGTCTCGCCCATGGAGTCCTCATGCAGATCATTATAGCTATCGGAGCTTTTGAGTAGACTGACCGCAGTTAGCTGAGGCTCACTACAAAAGCGCACGCTCTGGTCTGTATCATAACAAAAGCTGTCTTGCTTCCGTTGTTGGTTACCACTTCTGCCTGCATTCCTACTCCCTGGCATGCCCGATACACGTATTGCATAGACGGGTCTACCCTAAAGCAAGGCACACATCACTGGACTTCCAAACAAGGAATGAAAGTTCAAAACAATAGAGAAACCTAAATTGTGTGTTCACTGACCATCATAATTTTGACAGGAAGAGGTTCAATGTTCCGTGGCGGATGCTGTAGACCCGTTGAGGGAGTTACTTCACAATCTGTAGGTCGGCGCTTATTATCCACTCTTTGCAACAACTGCAATGGAGTTTTCTCCAGACTTTGACCTTGAATTACGTCAGCTTCATCTTGTGGCCATAATGGAGTAGCGCGGTATCGCCGAATACTGTTGTTCAAGAACTGACAAATATCTCTTTCAGTAGCAATACAGCCAGCCTAAACGTATATAGAACTTAGGTTGTTAAAGCAATTGAAAAACCTAATCTTGAAGTAGAACCTACTCGAAATTGAAAGAAGAGATGTTATAGTGCTTCAAAAACTCACCTGCATACCGCGCAGGAAATCGTTCACGAAGCCTACGATATGAGGCGGTATACCATATGAGGTCATATACGCCCAACTCTTCAAACCTCGCAAATCTTCAAAATTTGGTAAGGGCATTCCAGCAGACTTCATTTCAGCAGCTATATATTGTGCCTAAAAAACGTCAAGATAGTTTTTTTAGAGAAATACAGCCTCTCCATGCTTACATCAGTATAACTGTATAACTTACTGCCTCAGCATAGTGACGATGGCATATATTTTTCCTGCTTGAATTGCAACTGTAATAAAGAGCTTTTACAGGCAACTTCATGGAACATCCACATGCTATCAAGCCCGTTATGAAGATCGCGTTCTGAATTCTCGATGAAGAAGATATCCTGAATCCTTGAGCAGCCAATTGATCTCCACAGACGATGCATTCAGTTTGTATCTTTTCAGCGTCTATCGCAGATTGCCTGAAAAATGTTTTTGCCATCGGAGCGGGGATTCATTTTGTGTATTGTGCATTCCAGATGGGTCAAAACTACCCAGGACAACCGCTTTAATTCAATTTATGTATGACAAACATGTATGCCCATCTTCTGTATAGTCGTACCTGCTGTCCGTAGTGGGTCCACTGCCATATGATGTGGTTTCGCTGAAAGAGCTCGAAGGAGCCTCATCCGTAGGCCCTGCATACGACGAGGTGTTGTTAGAAGAGTCCGTTGGCAATCTGACTGCAGATACCTCAGCGTCCATGGGCCATAATGGAGTGGCATGATATCGGCGGAGAGCAGTACTCATGAAATGACATATATCCTTTGCCGTAGCATTCTTATGAATATTGCTACCACTAATCTGAAATTTCAATGACGTCGTATTTTCTGAGAAAGATTGAGGGATTGGGAAACGTACTTTTTTGGCAGCCATGAAGTTGTTCACAAATTCAACGATATGAGGTGGTATATCGACCACGCACACGTATGCTTTACTTCCTGCAGCATACGGATCTATGAAGTATTGAAATTGCTTTCCGACCGACTCCATTTCGGAGGCTATGAACTGTGCCTGCAATGTTTGAAATTTAAGAGTAAGAAGATTATAATTGTTATGATTACCATTACGGGAAGTTTTCTTGAATTTCCCATTACGGGAAACTATCTAAATCCACACATTAGCCGAAGTCATAACGAGCAAGTTATGGGGTACTCAGTTATTTCCTGCACTCAATGAAGTCTCAACACTGTCTCAGCGACAGAGCATGGACATTCGATATAGTTAGCGAGATTTAGCCGATAAACGGAAAAGCGAGCTTGTGTTGGAGCGTACTAAACATGTTTAGACTGGTATGGCTGCTTTCATACTTCGACGTGCGTGCCGGCACGCAGGTGAAAACGCAGGTACAATCTTGCGTGCGGCGTGCGAGCGACTATGCGACTGCGGCGCTATCCAAGTGTGTGACAGCAGTGGCACGTGCGCCTTCGGCGTTCAATGTTGTCAACACCTCTCTAGCGCCGCCGTCGCATAGCCGCTCGCACGCCGCAT